ATTTTTAGATGTAAACTATTATTAATTTATTATTATAAGTAGAATTTATTTGCAATTAAAATTTATGATTTTTTTTTCTAATTTTTATGTTTTGCTTCCTTCTTGTTGGTTCTGTCTGAGGCCAAAACGACCCAGTGAGCGGTTCTGAAGCAGCGCTTCGTTGTCGCAGCCCTAGATGAGGTTAATTGATATTTTTACATATTGGGACAATAAAATTAGAATTTAAGAGACATTTTATGGCCTACATAAAATTAAAACTGAACTATGCAGATCTATGTGTCATTTCTATATTTGTGATAAATATAAATAACTATTGTAGCTTTGAAATGATAAGGTATATAGATAAATTGATTCTAAAATTTGTCCTTTTTCAAAACTCGGCTTCAAATTAATTTTATGTCTCAGAGCCTGTAGGATGTYAAAAAAKAAKAACAATAAATAAGAACAAATAACCATCTCCCAACCTGCTCTGCCACTAGKAATAAGTTAAATAAGTTCCCCACTGTCATCTCCTCGTCACGCTCTGGCTTTCCCTGCAGCCGACAGTCATCCAGTCTACCTGCCTGATCTTTACCGAGTGAAGCCCAACGTCTGACCTGAAAGTCTCCTGTGTGACTTGGTGGGAGTCTTGGTTCCATTCTGTTGCTGCTTCTTCTCTAGCGGTGAGAGTGTCAGCAACGCCGGCAGAGCTACGGTTCGGTGAGAGGGCGAAGGCGACGCGGAGGACTTCCTGTCCAGCGGGGAGGGCGACGGTGTCGACGACGCCCGTCTGTCCAACGGGGAGCGAGCTGGACTGGGCCGTCTGTCCAGAGAGGACGGAGGCGTGATGGAATGCGGCGTGGGCGGCCCACTGCTGCCGCGGCCGTTTGTAAGCTTTTCACCCGAGCGCTGAGAGGCTGGAGAGGTGAAGGATGAGGACTTGAGTGGAGATGGGGTGGATGAGGAGGAGGAGGAGGAGGAGAGGCGCACATGTGATGCTGAGTCTGCTCGGTTTAGACAAGGCATCTTCTCCAGACTCACGACTGGTAGTGATACACTGAGGGGGAAAAAAGAAAGAGTAAAATAAATTAATATTTAAAAGGCATCAAAGACAGCATGTAACCCTTATCAGACTCTGGTTTTGAAATGACTCCGGGGGTYTCAGAAATAAGTGTGCACACACCATGTCTTGCTTCGTGCCCCTTTTGGTGGGTAGACAGCGAGCGGTGCCTTGCTGAAGCGCGAGTGAGGGTAATCTTTGGGGACCCTGAATGCCAGACTGTCCCCGGGGCTGGGCGCCACAGCGGGGGCCACTGCAGGTGCTTTGGGCTTCATGGGAACCAAGGGGCCCCTGGAAGGGATTGGGGAGCTGTGTCGCTTCTCTGCAACAGGCCAAAACAAAAACAGAAACAAATACGTTACATGTGGTGTTAAGCAGAAAACGCACAGAATACTCTCCAAAATAAATCTATTTAGTACACTCATTACAATCATGCATTGCCAGTGGGTCATTTTTGGGTTCTCTTAGCAAATTTGCAATAAATTAGCACTTGAGTGCCATGCTGTATGCACAACATTTATTCCGAAAAAGTTAGGACGCTGTGTAAAATGTGTTGCAATGATTTGAAAATTCCATAAACACATTTTATTCACAAAGGAACATCAAATATTTCTAATAAATTGTACAATTTTTAAGTAAAWAAAGTTTTGAATTAGCACATTTTAAAAAAACGATGAGACTGAAGCATTTTACCCATGAACATGCAAAGCTTTCTGAATTGACGTGCCTTTAAGGAACTGTAAGCTGCCCTTACTAGAGGTCCAAATGCACCCCCATACCATCAGAGGTAGGCGTTTAAACTAAGAGCTGATAATAGGCTTTCCTCCTTAATTATTCTGAACTTGTTCCACTATTTTTACAAACTGGTGAATCTCGGTTCATCTTTGCTTCCAAATGAGTCTCTAAAATGCTCTTTTACTACCTTTATCTGAGAATAAAATGTGTTTCTGAAAATCTCTGCATTCCATTTTTACTTACATTTCATGTCCCATTTTATTGGAATAAGGGTTGTAATTCATGTATCACATTAAACCAACATGTGAGGTTTTTTTTTCCAACTACTCTGGGACCAGATGTTRGTATTGAACCAACTGCCTCAACTTCTCCACAAAAACTAACCGTTTCCAAACCAATTTCTTGCACTTTGCTCTAAATATCAACATGCCCGGCACTAAACTGAAGTGTCCTTSTGGAATGAACTCCATCATAACTGAAGRTCAATCAAAAAAGCCAACWGTTCAAACARCTTTTTGACCCAAATCTGATCCGAATGCGTGAGTCCAAACTGCTGAGACACACAGTAGGAAATGCAGAACGGAGTAAATCACAAGGCTTGTCAGGAAGGGGTGGGGGGAGAAACTGAGGAGAGGAGCTTATGCACTTACGGTTCTTGCTATGCATGTCTTTGTGGGAGCAGGGTGGGTAGGGGGGTGGGGGGGTTGTGGTCCAGGACTGTCTCTCTCTGTCTCACAGGGAAACTATAGCCCAGCTACCTGAATGAAAACAAAGGGGGGGGGAACACGTCGTAAAAGCTCAGAAATCAAGGGGGAGGGGGGAAACAGAACACCCAACACACACAAAAACTGTCTTTTTATGGAGCCTACAACTTCACTCTGACGCCAAGTGTAGCATGTAAAGATGTACAGTGAACTATTCTGTTGTAAAGTGGTGTACAGTAGAGGTTTTTGTAATAAGACTTGCCCAAAATCTAAACTGAATTTCCTGTCTGATAAGTATCAAGCTCAGGAAGCGGTAAAACCGAGAGATGTGCCCTGAAGAGAGAAGCTCGAGTAGAAATATTTGCCCGCAAGACTCTTTAATTTCACTTGAGTCATTGTTTCTGAATTTATTGAGCACAAAAACTCTTGGGCTCATTCATCAACATGTAAACATCGGCACAAACGAGTATACTGACTTCTGCGTGGAGCGCTAACTCATTAACTCAACCCAATCAAAGATGGCTGCCACAGCTGATCAAACTTAGCTTAAACAAAAATCYATAATTGTGCTAAAAAAGGCATGGTTGTAGCTGACATTCATTCACAACCATACTCTAAGTAATAAGCAATCACGCAAGATAATAAAAGATGTTGCAAATCACACGATTGGGATTTTCAGACGTAACAAAATAGTAATAACTTTCAGCATGAGATGATCTTAAAGCTCAGGTGTGAAAAGGAGGCGGCGATACATCGATACTGGAGTGTTTGCAGAAAAAAGGCTTCTAACTGCAGGACTGTGCTGAGTCTAAACTGCAAAGTGTGTTTGTTTAAAGTGCAAGGGGGGAACGTGCAGCAGGTGATTGAGTGTGTTTAACAGAGCAGATGTTTGTWTGTATGAAGGTATGACAAGAACCTATAAATGCATGTGTTTAAATCAAATGCTGTAAGTGCAGCAGTATTTATGCAAAGCTGCATGATTGTCTATAAGATTTAGATATACAGTGCTTTGGAGTTTCATATCTGTGTGTGAGAGAGTGCATGTCTGTGTGAGAGACAGGTGTGTAAATAACCAAGCGGAGGCAGACAGCTGCATTCACAATTACAGGGTTAAAGTCCAGAGTCACGTTTGCAAGCATGCACACGGTTCACACATTTATTCACATGTTCTCTTCTGCGGTTTCACAAATGAGACGTGCAAAGTTTCAGTCAACTCAGCTTTCCAGCTTCAAGCTTTTTACGTCTGATCAAACGATTTCATGATGTGCACCAGGAGTAGGATAAGTTCAAATATAAAGAAATATTGGATTTTATTCTTCTGTAGAACCAAGATCTGGTCATTTCTCAGCATATTTTACAATGAGAATATCAATAAATAACCCCAATGCCGAAACTGTGATGTGGTGCTCTCATAAAATTCAATATTTTCTTTAAAAATAATATTCATTTAAAAGATTTGACATGTTTACTGCGAAAAACGTATACAAGATTTTATTTGTATGTAATTAAATAGTTAAGGCTAGTTCTGTCTGCTTAATTTGTTATTTCTTTGGGGGAAGTTTTAATATATTACATGTGGGACACAAAGTAACAAAATAAGCCAAAATAAAATTAAACTCTACTCTGAATAAATTACAAATGAAGGATTTAACGCAAACAAGAAAACATAAARCCTGTCAATAAAAATAAAACGTATGCAGCTTGCAAGAAATACTGAATGAACTACCAGGTTTGTCAAAGAAAAACATGTTTTTCTTTCTTTTTTCCTTTTTATTTAAGCACAAGTCAACCAGAAACATCAATAGCCAGCTGGAAGCTAACTATGCTAATTTTAAATAGATGGACAAACGCCCAGGCGAGGTCACTAACCCGCCGGACCACAAGGGRGCCTCTCCTGCTACGCTCTCCTGCCTTCTTGTTGTTATGGTGATGCTGAGAGCCCAGCTGGCTGCTCATTGGCCTCTGACTCATGCTGTGGGCGGAGCCAGGGGGGGATGATGAGGAAGGAGGCTTTCAGCGCTCAGCTGAGTTTGTTTATGCTGAGCAGGCGAGGAGAGAAGAGAAACCGACATGAGGAAATAAGATCTGAGAAAACCCATCTAAATAGTTTTATTTTGTGTTGAATTGAGCCTTTAATTAATATAAGTTTTAAGTAAAATATAAATACTAACATTACAATGAAAAACACAAAAAATATCCATGTAAGAATAGATGTTTTTGCCCAAACAAAGACTSTTAAAGTGATTTTCAGGAGTATAAAATCATCTTGGATGTAGGGAGTAGGGACAACAATTACCGTATAATAAAACTTCACTAGCTGATAACGCCTGTTAAGTAGACCTTGTTTTATCRAAGAAAGTTTCTGTTTAAACACATAAATGTAAAGTTCTTATTCAAAATATTTCCTGTTTTGCAAGTTTGTGTTTGCTAAGGTCYATTAGGTGCGGCAGCCGTCTTAAATCAAGTTCAATTTTGAAAGGTGATCATTTGGAGTGAAGTGATTGCTTTGAGTTTTAGCTCAAATCGTCCCGTGGTTCGTGAGAAATTTTGCTAACAGATAGCTGAAKATGTGCACACATCCACACAGCAGCAATGACATAATAATTACGTGATTTTGTTTTTGCCACCGTGAAATCTGGACAATAGAAATAAAACAAATACACAAAAACAGCTAAAAATTGTAAAGCTAAAACATAAATGTGAGCCATCATATCGAAATGAGGATTAAGTCAAATTTGGTCAAAATGACCTAATTACATTTTCAGATTCTTGGCTTTAAAAGCTACATTTTGATACCTGGATCATTCTGATATCATAATTAAATCCATATATGTGACTTAATTTGTCTTGTTGGTTGCAATAATACATAAATATTTGGACTGAATCCTAATTTTATGTAATTTTAATG